CTTGGAGGAGAAGGCCATGGGAGAGATGATGTAAGTAAGAAGAGGAGCAAGGAAGATGGTGACTCCAAAAGCAATTGGAGACATGGGGAATATGAACTTGGTAACAAGAGAAACAAGGAGCATTGTAGAGAGAGAAAGAAGGGCAGTGGAAGCCATGTCTAGAGAGAGAGAGAGAGAGAGAGTGGGTTGAGAGATGGAAGAGAGGGGGAAATGGTTTATATAGATGTGGTTTGTGGGGGGTAGGAACCAAATCTGTGTGCTTCTGTATTATTATTACAAGTGAAAACTAAAAGGTGGGTTTTGGTGAGGGGTCAAAGCTTGGCGTTGGTGATGGTTGGTGGTTGGTGAAGCCGCCGTTGTCAACCAAAGCAGCCATGTTTGTCCCAATTTTGACCATTTTCGGCTCTCTCCTTCCCTCCACGTGCTTCTTACTTTCTACTTCCATTATTTATATATGTCAGTCACTGATGCACTCTGCTTTTTTCTTGTACATGATTAGTTGGTTATATGACTACAAAGGCTTTCACTGGTCGCCTTCCAACTAGAACTGGGTTCAAGAAAGACTTCCGATTTTGTATGACAACCGAACGAGCATTCGCTGGACGGAGATATCTCTAAACCTAACATAAGTTACATATTATCCATAAAAATTAAGAGTATATTGTATCATATTGCCCATAATTCATACATTTTTATACCATTAACCAAACAATTATCATACAAACCCATCTTATTTGTAACAAGTCTTTTCCCCATACATAATCATTCTTACAAACTCTGCTACCAACAGTTTATTTGGTATCCTTTACTCATAATTCATACATTTTTATACCTAAGCTGCAACCACACCAGAAGCCAAGGCAGGGGGACCAGCCACGGAGCAGGGCAACGCCGAGTAGTCTTTCATGGCTTTCGATCCACACTTTTCCCTGCGATCGTCGCCTCTGATGTGTTTGTCACGACACTCGACACTGCAAAATGCCTTTTCCCCTCTGCACGAATGAAAACAGCAAAGTCATTCTCAAGGGAAAAAGAAGATTCCAAGTTCATGAGAATCTTGGATGAAAGCCAACCAATTTGCTGAAGTTTCATGTCCGATCACATGTTATCTCATCTCATTTCAACCACATGAAAGTACAGGACAATAAGCTTTTAATAACAAGCTGCTGAAAAATATCTCAATTACAACATGAAGATGAGGAAGACTTTCTCTATAACAAGCCTGCAATTATATGATTATTGGAAAGCATAAAAGTCCAGAGATATCAAGCCAACCCATTCGAGTGGCGATAATCGAAGAGGTAGCTTAAGAAAGAGCCAAATATTAATGTCCCACGATTATCAAGTCATATACCATTCAAAGATTAGTATAATGTCCAGACAAGGGCATAAGAGCTGTCTGCTGTTGTATTTGTAGCTAACTTAAAACGAACACTTAAGTCCTCGTTAATAAAGGAGATAAACAGCCAAACTCTTAGAATTGAAGCTTAAAAGAGACTATATGGAGATCCCACATCGATTGGAGAGGAAAACGAGTGCCTGCGAGGACACTGGGCTCTGAAGGGGGTGGATTGTGAGATCTCACATCGGTTGGGGAGGAGAATGAAACATTTTTTATAAAGGTGTAGAAATCTCTCCCTAGCAAACACGTTTTAAAAACCTTGAGGGGAGCCCCGAAAGGGAAAGCCGGTATATACTTTATTTCTCATGAGAACAGAGCACAGTTTTAAAATAACCCATCTAACCTAACAAGGGAGACAGTAACCAAACTCAATCATATCAATCTAGGAAAAAGAAACTCGAATCATGCTGACAAATATCGGCAACAGGGATCTGATCCAAGCGCTTATCGAATCTAAAACAAATTGTGTAATTCAACAAAAATTTCCACTTCGAAAAGAAAATCGTCCTAAGGATGGAAACAGATAAGAAAAATCCCAAACTAGGCAACGTGGTACTAGATGCTTTCTTAACAGCTCCTAAAAAGGCATCTCATAAACGAATAGAATGAGCAAATCAATGAACCACAGATCCAAAACTTCACAGAGAAAGCAAAATCATCCATTCTACCTATGTCATGAACTAATCAACCAAGGCAGCAACTATCATGACTTGACAACATCAAAGAAACCAAAGAATATCACGATTCTACAGTATAAGATTCCATTTATAGGAATCAAAGTAACTGGGCTTGAATTGCTCGCTCCCTCTAAGTTTTCATGCTACAATTGTCTAAAAATTAACTAATAAAAGATGATCAAATAAAATCAAGACAGAGGAGAAAAGGGAGGAGAACTGGGATTTACCTGTACATGAAGATGTCAAGCCCATGAAGATGCTTGCAGCAGAGATGACAAGAGCTCAAAAATTCAGCAGCAAAAAGCCCTCTCTCCGCTACACCAAAACTCATGGGGGAAGTGGAAAAAACCCCATATGTCACCATATTGGAAGAGCGGCCATTAACCATTTCAAGCTCACCGTCAAAGAAAACACGCTTTTCAATCACATGATTACCAAAATGTGAAGTTACGCAAGTGTAACTTTCAGAAAGTTCATCAACAACCTCGTGTTGTTCCTTTTCTAGGTTAAGGCCACCTCTGAAATTAGCGGCTGGTTTAGCAGAAGAAACGATGGGAATCGAGCAGGACCTGGGAGAAACCGCTTTGGAAGACACAAAAGGTTCATGAAATTTGTGGGAATCAGTCATGGCAGCAACTATGCCCAACCCAACAACGCCGTTCTCGAAATCGCGAGGGGATTTCACTTTATCAGAAGAGAAAGAAGCGGAGAAGGCGGTGAAGAGCGAAAGGCCGATGGTGGGTTTCCTTTTTCCAATGTAATTCTCCATTTCTGACTCGAAATTTAGATTCAATCCGTCTGGTTTGCGAATCGAGTGGTATGAAGTGAAGATAACATTGGGAATGGAGTAAATTGGAAGAATTAGAACAGAGATGGAAAAATGTTATTGAAATTAGATCCCCGATGAGTGCGAAACAAGCAGCAGAGCGGGAGTTCCTTCAACCCCACTAAATTGAAACTTGAAAGAAATGTTGCAGAACAAGAAAAAAAGCTTCAAAGAGAGGAGAGAGAGAGAGAGAGAGAGAGAGAGAGAGAGAGAGAGAGAGAGAGAGAGAGGGAGTTCGAGGCCTCTCTGTTCTCCTCTGTGGGTTAGGAGCAGAGACAAATACAAATAATTATATTCTCTTCAACTCTGCAATTATTTCTGGACTCTCACTTTCTTCTCTCTCCCTTTTATTTTTACTTTTATTTCTAATTACAGATCTTAATTTATAAAAATTAAAAATTTATAATGAGTTTAATCCAAATAAATTAAAATTTTATGAATTTAATTTTTTTTTAATTTAGTTTAGATTGAAGACGACTTAATTTTGTTAGATGATGAAACTTCCGTTACATCCCCTAATTTAGAAAATGATCATGCATTTATAATCAAATAATACTCTCTCTTTTTTTGGAGAAATCCAAAGCATAGTCACAAGAGTTTTATACTCAAGTCCACAATATCATACCAAATTCGTGTTCATCTAACCAATTTTTTTTTAAAAATGGCTTACAATAATATATTTATTTTGATTTTATTCAACTTTATAATTATATTTTTTAATATTTATTCTTCTATAACTTTTTAAAATGGTTGAAACTCTAATAAAATTTTAAAAATAAGTAAATAAATATTTTTAAACTAACCTTTTACTTTATTAAAAATAAAAATTTCAATAATTGGAAAAAGTTGCTTATTTTAATTATTTATCAGAAACTTTTTATTTAAATGTTTAAAATTTTCATTTTCTAATAAAAAAAATATTAGATCTCACTTTAATTTTAACACTTCAATAAATAAATACTAAAAATTACTTTTTATATAGGTACATAAGTACAAAACAATAATTGATGCAGAATCTAGGGCAAGAATGTGAACAAAATTAGAGCGAGGTCAAGAACGAGAATGGAGATTGAAGCTCTTGTTCACATCTCCAAGATTAAAATGGGAAAAAAATTTCTTAGGGTTGCTCTCTTCCAAAATAAGAAATGAGACAGGTCTTCTAAAAAAGAATTGGATACTCTTAATTTATTAAAATGGAGTATCGAGTAAAGTATCTGTAAATGAGAGATTAATGCTAGATTTCAGATATGATATATGTAACAAACTAATATTTTACACCGTTAGTTTACTGAGTTTTAGACCACTAAAACATAACATAACTATAGTTAAGTTAGATTTCGTTATAGTTTAAATGTATGGTTAAACATAACATAACTATAGTTAAGTTAGATTTCGTTATAGTTTAAATGTATGGTTAAGTTAAATCTTGTTATAATTTGAAATAAATGTATTGTTTACTGTGTTTAATTAAGAATGGAATAAGGTTAAAGTTTAAGGTCACAAAAGTTCTTAGTTATTTCAAAGATGATCCCCCATCTTTTGGATATTGACTCTCATGCCCAAAAGTTCTTAGTTATTTCAGGTTGTACCCTAAATAAAGTATAATTATTTGTATTGGTGGTCCATAAAGTTGTGGTTAATTGTTATTCTCATCATCATAATTACAAATGGGCCCTTCCCTTTTTGTCTTTTTATATTTATGGCATGATTGCCACTTCAAGAAACATTTTCACTTATTATTAATGGCATATTTGGGCAGATGGTGCTTTGTGAAGTAATTTAGTTGCCATAATTTTTTTGGTATTAATTAGTTGCCATATTTTTAAGCTTCAAAGTATTTAAATATTTTGAAAATATTCAAAATATTAACATTCTAGTTTCGTTGGAACGGCTGCTTGTTTAGTATTATTTTGACTTTGATGTCTATATTTTACTAGCACGAGAGTTGTGAGATCTCATATTGATTAGAGAGGAGAACGAGTGTCAACAAGAACGATGGACCTTAAAAAGGAATGGATTGTACAATCTTACATCAGTTAGAGAGAAGAACAAAACATTCTTTATAAAAGCGTTGAAATAACAGATTTTACCATACGAGAAATGCCGCTTGGCTGCAAAGTTTGTATTCTCAAAGGAAAAATTATAATGATACCCAGCAATGTTGGACAAAATTGGATCATGTTATACAATTTACACCTACTACTTAACCACTAATTAACTCATCATCTAAGTTGGAAGTAAATATTAAGCCAAAACAAACATCCCTCTCTCTGATTTAAGCCACTATGATGAACTCCCCCCCCCCCCCCC